CCCGTCAGACACACTCAAGGTATTAATACCTGACTTTGCGGACAAAATTAAGGATCTGATTCTAGTAAATAAGAAGATTAAGATCACAGATTGGGAAAAATTCCGTTTTAACGACGGATATGTCAGCCTTGACTTAACCAAGGTAGACTTTACTAAGCTCAAATGCCCTTCAAGAAACTATGTTTCTTGGAGACACGAAGCTGTAGTTAAAGAACAAGTTGAGAAATGGTTATCCGATGGGGTAATTGAAATCAATTACCAACAGTCGCCAGTTAACTTAGCATTATTGGCAGTTGATCAACACAATTATGACGGAACATTTAAGAAAGTCAGAGTATGTCTAGATATGAGTCCAATAAATAAGTTATTGCCGACTCATAGTTTCCATCTCCCTCGTATAAACGAGTTACTGAGACGAATGAAAACTGCTACGGTGTTTACATCGATAGATCTAACACAGAGGTATTATCAAATGCAAATTTATGAACCCCATCGCAAGTACTTTAGTTTTACCTGGAAAGGTAAACAATACAGGTTTAGAGGTGCACCTTTCGGGTTGCACTCCTTACCAACATCCTTCCAACAAGTAATGGCGGAAATGTTTGCAGACATGCCTAACATGCAAGTCTATATAGATGACATAGTCATTTTTTCTAAGACTAAGGGCGAACATGCCGCATTAGCCAGGCGAGTCCTTCAGAGACTCAACGAACAAAAATTCAAGATTAACGAGAAGAAATGTCACTTCGCCGTGAGCGAAATACAGCTCTTTGGCTACCGTATATCTGGTAAAGGTATTAAAATCGACCTCGGTAAGGTGGAACACTTGTTAGATTGGCAAACACCAACTACAGGAAGAGATGTGAACAGCATGTGTGGGTTTGTAAACTTCTTTTCAGATGGAGTACTACACTTGGCTGATTATCTTAAACCCTTTGGACACTTAAGATGTCGTAAAGGCAAACTAGGAGACTTGTGGACTAAATAGTGTGATGACGCATTTAAAGCGCTCAAGCACGCAGTCCAACAACCTCCTATTGTACAAGGACCAGTCGATGACGTGCCTTTTGAAATAGCAACGGACGCATCAGACTTAGCACTCGGAGGTGTACTATACCAGGTTATAGATAATAAACCTAGGTATATACAATTCCTTAGCCCACCAATGAATACATCACAGTTGAATTATTGAACTGTGAAGCAAGAGCTACTAGCCACTGATTCGAAATGTAACCCCAGGTAGGTTGAACTGACTCAAAAGATATTTGGGCCACATACAGTTGACATGTTTGCTGCACATCATAATGCACAACTTAAGAATTACAGGACTTTAAATCATCCTTTAGAAGATGCCTTTCAAATAGACCTCTCCAAACATAATGCGTGGGCTAATCCACCATGGCAGTTAATTGCCCAATTGCTAAAATATGTTCATATACACAAAGCTACCATCACATTGTGTTGCCCATTACGAAGTAAAGATCCATGGCTCAATACATTAATAAGCATGATACAATGCGAGCCAATATATTTAGAAGTAGATACTCTCCAATTTCAGGGTTCCCGAGCCGTCCAGAAGACGCCCTGGAGACATACTATAATATGTCGTATAGGTCCCATTGGAACAACCAAATAAACCCCTTCTGAGACCTTCCTTAACAAGATCAAAGAATCAGAGATTCCACTCTCTACCCAATGGAACGTTAAGAAGTTCAAAGGCAACACAGCACTTGAAGTCTGTGCACAAGAAATACAATATATTAATCACACTACAGTTAACAAGCATCAGTCTCTAGCTAGGACTCTGTTTAATAACATTAAGTCCAAGCCTGAAGTCCTTCAAACTCTATTTGTAAAGGGATTAATGAAAGAGAATTCCGAAGCATATACACATATAATGCGACTATTAAATAAATCAGGTGTATCAAACGCACACGAGCGGACTCATGACACTCATGCGAAAGAAGGACAGAAGTCTGGGAACACTACAGACTTAGAGACCACGCAAGTGGATTGTCAACACCCTACCTTTATTCTGAAGGAGCAGAATGATAAAAACATTCTTGTTTGGCTGACGCAAACCATAAGCTGAAGCACCAGAACGTAGTAGACACACTTAAAGATGCTAAGCGATATAGGATCGCGCACCCTAAGCTGGAAACTTTAGTTGACAGAGTATATCAGTCATGTACAGACTGTGATGTCAACCAGATTAAGCGCTATGGGTTCACACCGCTTAAGAGTGTGACTGAAGATGTTCCATGGCGCAGTGTTATCATTGATCTGGTTGACCTGCCTACGTCCGAGCACACAGGCGACCGCTACGTATGCCACATCTTTGATGTGGCGTCACGGTAGAACTTGCTCTATCCTTTAAAGGAGAAGAGTACCCAGATCGTGGCAGAATTATGTTGCCAAGTCTGTGCTGACCACAGATGGCCGGGTACATTGTGTACTGATAACGGTAGCGAGTTTTACGGTAGCGTAATGTAATCGTTAGTACTCGTTTCAGGAATGTGCCATAAAAGGGGTGTACCATATAAACCGCAAACACAAGGCGCGAATGAAACGCGCCATAGAAGACTTCAAGTTATTCTTACGTACTGCATTAACGGATGATGCAGATGATTGGCCGTACCACCTTAAGTGGGTACAAACACGATGAACGAGTGTGCTGATCCGGTTACAGGTACAACACCCGCCCACTATTTTCGTGGCAGACATAGTGAGTTACAAATACCTTTTAACAAGGACGAACCTAATCACCATGAGTTACCATGGTTAGAGAAGGTACAAATTATTTATAACGTTGTATATCCTTGCTTGCGAGAAACACGCAATATTGCCTTATTAAAAAGGCAAAATAGATAAAATGCTACCAAAAATATAGCAGAGTATAAGGTTGGAGACAGAGTTAACATCCGTCAACGTAATTTTGATGCTACTGTTATAACATTTAAATGGATAGGACCGTATATAATCTCTATAGCTGACGTTAAAAGTGGAACATATGAGGTTAATAACCTCGACGGTTCCAGTGCTTTGTTGACTTCAGATACTTTCGATAATCAAGACTATTTAAAAGCCTTTAATCGAAAGTGGCATAAACGCCTCCATAAGTTACAAGCTGAAAAAGATAGAATGTTTCCATCGTTTGAAGGCACGGAAGTTAAAACTTACCCGCCTACAGCATTTTTCCCGAGCTTTAATGCTCGCCCTTCATATGTGCTTAAGGCACTGAAACGTAAGAAACGTCCAGTCAACCACCACGGACCTACTGGACCTAAGCCCAAAACTCACAGGGTAACCGAGAACGCTTAACTTCTCCGCCTGAGAAACTTGCTTAGTTTATCCTCCGTTCAGCCAATCAGATGCGCCTGTCTGATGAAGGCTAAGTCGGTAATTCTTGATAAGTGGCAAGTTATTGGTTAATGCAATAACTATGGAGATTATGAGTAAATCTCTTTTTTCTTTTCTTTTTTCTTTTCTAAAGATAGGATTTCATGAGTCTCTCGGATTTGCCCCAACGAAACATACCATAGCTTCTAATATAGCGACAACGAAACACTAAATAAAATCCCTTCGGCGCAGTACTGAGTGGATTATATATAGGCAACGTCTCAGCCTCACAATCCCTCAGAGTATTGCTGTTTTCACGAGGCAAACCTAACTTTACTAAAAACTAATTACGTTTATTTTGCTTTAATTTCATTTGAGCTTTAGAAGACTTTATTACGTTTAACTACTCTAAGACGTTAATATCGCCTTAAGAGACCAAAACTTACAAACGTTGGTAGCTTACCTGGCCTAACACGTATACGGCCATCTGCCGTTGTATTAAGTTGGTCTGTACGGAAGTGGTGATGCGCTACTTTCTAGCGTTGTCTTTTGCCTTTCTTTCCCTCATTAACTACGTATGATTTATATATATTTTGTCTCTGTGTTGTTGTATCTCTCAATAGTATTGCTAGTCATTTCTCCCTGACATCTGGTTTCACCGGTAAAATCAGTCCTATATGTCGTAGATCTTCACCGCATACTTCGTCACTTTGTGTACATACACACTGTACTCGTATGCGATGAAAGTTGGGTCTACGCAATAGCTGACTCAAATTATGCCACTGTAACTCTGCGTATGGTTCTGCCGTAGGCCCAGGGAAAAGTCTACTATGCTTTCAGATCAACGATTCAAACAAAAGGTGTTTAGCATTGATGTAATTTCGTGTCTCTGAGTTGTATAGAATTTCTAAAGTATCTTTATCTATGTTAGGCAGCACTCTTTTTAACCAACATCGATATTTGTCAGGCGCTCTAGATCGCTTAAGTAGATTGAAATAATGATCTACAAGTTTTATGCGTCGATGTTGCATCGATGTTGTTGCATCGATGTTGTTGAATGGATCCTTCGATCATAAACAAACTCTACGCACTGAAACCGGACTTTTGAACTCCTCACTGATTCGGCGACGAATGTTTGTACTACTTTCACTCATTGTTGTTTATCGAATGGCCTATTACACAGTGAAGTATGCTAATTTGTACGCCGATATTACGCGTGTGTGTGAACCAAATTGATTTATAGTCAAAAGTACCAAGAGATGTGTGCAGGGTTTAGGGTTTCACTGAATTCGGGTCGATATGTTCCGGCTTCAAAATGGGTTTTTAGGGTTTGTCCGACCCTAACGAAAACTCTTGCGTTAGAAAACATAGCCTCCTAAAAAAACAAACATAGAAAAGGTATGTTGAAAACCACAAAAAAAAACACGACCCTCTGGGTAGGGTCTCGAGCAGAAATCAAGGTTTCTGTCGTAGCGACAGGAAATCGAAACTTCAGCAGAGACCCAAATCCAGAGGGCCGTGAAAATAATAGTCGAAAACCGAGGAGTAATATACAATTTTTTTGGCGGCAACCAAATATGCATTTGGACAGCCTCGCGTTCCCTGATCCCACTGTTCAATATATTTAACTCAAAGGAGATTATGCGCACATATACTGGTAGCCTGCTTGATATGATCCATTTCATATTTTGCATTAGGTTGATAGGATCAGCATTCGCTGCGATTTCTAACGATGTCTCACACAGGTGAAGATGATGGCCCTACAGAAGACATGGATATTGAATTCTCGCAGCTTGTCCATCCCCTGAGTACAAAGGCATTTCTTGCAGATGTATGGGGTAGGAAGATTCACTGTGGCAAATTACACGAGGATGTGCTCGACAATATCACGGAGTATTTTCATGGAGGTGAATTCGCCAGCATCGTCAGCGAATCCCGTAAAGATGACAACACCAAATATTCTTCTGAGGAGGTTAGTGAAATGCAGAGTTGCTTAGATAGCAATCAGACTGTGAACTTACCTTTCTGCTTCACACCAGGGGCAAGAGGTATCAGAAACGCCTTCATGAGGGAATGTGTTGGGTATGCATCGGGGGATGTGGAGGTGGGCGTTTATTTCTCAGTGGTTGGAGGAATCCCAGCTCCTTGGCATTTAGACAACAACCATAATATTACGATACAAATCACGGGCAAGAAGGATTGGCTGTTGATACCAGGTGAGAAGCACGAGAATTTGACCTCATCTCGGGAGATTCACGACGTACCCACGAACATGAAAGAACTCTTGGTGACTATCCCGGGTACATCTCCCACACATTACGAGTGTTTCACTCTAGAACCTGGATCGATACTCTATTTACCTCCTGGTCATTGGCATTCAGTCGTGCCTGTTGCATCCGAGAGCTTCTCGGTTGACCTACGCGTGGCTAATGTATCCCAAGCCAAATGGATTGCCGAAGCTATATTCTCACTGCTCAGTAACAACCCTAGCGAAGGAGTTACGGAACTTCAGAAGCATTTCGCCTCAGTGGGACCATCTGAGTTATCTGCGGGGGGTTCAACTTCTCACACTCAGTACATTTTAGAATTGCTGAAGACTAGCTGCCTTGACAGAGTTGTGAACGAGTGTCGGCTGCCACGTGGCTACCAGTCTGAATCCCAGCATTCGGATGGACTCAGTTTGGGTGCATCCTTGGGGTTTCTGCTTGACTCTGAACCATATATAGATCATTTCGAAAGTGATTCCCAAGGTAGCGCCGTTAAACCCACTGAGTTCCGAATGAACCCTCTCGTGAGTATGATTTGCAAACGACACGGGGGCGTCTCCTTCTCCTTCTCGCTATTGTCTGTCTCAAGCCTGACCAAAGCTGATTACCTCAACTTTACCATACACGTGGACGAAGGCTTAAGCGATACAAATTTCGCGTTCATGCGTAAACTCTCGCAAGCGCCAGAGTGGATGCAAACTTTAGACCTCAAGTATGAGGATGACTCAAAAACCCGCAAGAGGAAAAGACACGAATCGACGACGGACGAAGACTACCAAGAACAGATAATGAATGATTTGCTAAACATTCTGCTATGGGGAAACGTTATATTTGGACGATAGATTGATTGTTATCGATGGAACATGAAAGCTCAATGTACTTTCAATATACACGTGGTCCTTTTGTGACCTATAATCGTCCGGCCGTTGCACAGGCGTCGTCAATGTACGTCTATACGAGGGCGTGTACATGCGTTGAGTATATCATTGGATTGTGCTGCCATAGTTGTATGTAGCCATTTGATCTAGCCACAAATCGAAGTTAGGTTTTCGAACCATTAAAAGTCGAATAACAACCCGAAGTTTCTCGATAGCTTCCCACATTTATTGGCCGTAATCCATAAGCGGCGATACATGAATGTCATGAATCGCAGGTACTACATATACTTTGCAATTTTTCAACTATATTCGGTAAATCATCCTGAGGGTTGAGATAACATCCACTAGCTTGTAGTTGCTGCAAGCAGGCTGGGCCAGCACGTCTAGTTTCGGACGTGCATTCAGACACATGGCGTCTACACCGTACGACAGAGACACACCCGTCAGCGGTTTCCTGCGACGAAATATCATGACTTTCGAATCGATCGGATTGTAATCCGAGACAATCGGACAGCACTCGTCCGGATTGCGAAGCAACTCGCTACTATGTGATCATAATGCGTTCGCATTGTTCTTGTTCATGACGAATGCAGACTATTCCAATGTTATATATGGACTATCTGTGGTGTCATGCGATTGAAATTCTCGACCTTCATCTGTCGATAGTTTGTGTGGTGTATGGCATTACAACCATATTTAACTCGAGGCCCCGACAATAATGCTATTTAGGCTTATCGTATTAGTTGTACTACAACATATGGCCGCCTTAAGGTCAAAGCACATATTGGCGTGACGGTAGGTGTAGTATTAACTCCCTTTTCTAGCACGACAGCTTAATGCGATTGTCGGCAGGCGCGATGCGAACTACACAACAACTAAGTCGCTGCTGCATCACCGGTAATCAGTAGGTGGCCAGCTCTCAGTGATCAGAGACCATAGCATGCCGCGTGGTGTACTAAATCTGCATGGAATCAACTTACACCATTTTCACGTTATTGCTGTGGAAAATCATAGACAGCCCAGATGTTAATTCCACCCGCCCATCAAGCGAAAGATTGCTCGCTTACCATAGATGATCTCAGGCAAGCGTATTCCCAAGTCACTAATCATATTAAAAGGCTCTGCGACAATTCTAAAGTAGGCTCCTGACGACCGGATATATCGTCGAGACCGTGGCCACCAACTGGCATGGACGCCGATGACACTGCAGCGCCGATAAAAAGCATTTAAGAATTAGTAATGAACAGGTTAGTCCACACAACTCGATAGTCTTGGCTGGCTTCGGCTTTTGCATCGGCAAGTGTGTGCTTGTCATTCACGAAATACTGCGGGCAGCAGCCACCTATTGGACCAACATACAATCAGGCTACAAAAAGACACACAAGCATGGGGCAGCATGAGGAATTCGATCAAGCATGCATGTGTCATTGCGACAGCAGCGATCTACTTGGACCAATCCCTCGTGAATAGAGGACAAGGCAACGACGTGACTGTCAGGGGTCACCGGATATACACACTCAATAACACTCAGACACTTACAGAGATTTTCATGCTCGGGCAGAACCTCTCGGACATCTCTGTTATTGCTTCTGCCACTCTGAGCACAGCTGCGCCTTATCCTCAAGTCAGAGCCTGTGTGGTGCGCTTGTTCCATAGACGTTTGTCGATGATACGTGGGGATTGGGTAGAGAATCGACAGCCTCCGTTCTCTAGCCATCTGCGAGGTTGCGAACATCGCAGCATTAATGACCGACTATGTGGCATGTGTCGTGCATGTCTCTTGCAGCTACTTTTCGGATGACAAGTCTATAAAGATACGAGGCACTGCCATCAGTTGATTGCAGAAACAATAGATTCAACGTGTTCAGATATTATTAAGTGATATTCAAATTAGTTGCAGATTATTGGGTGTAGCAGCAATCAGTTGATCACAGACAGGTAATATAATCCTTCTAATGGCTAAGAGAACCCAGGTGTTGGTATTAAAACAGACATACCTCGTACTCAACTTCTTCTCGGGTGGGTAGAAGGTCAAACTCGTCGTATGAAGTACTTTGAGCTGCCTTGCGCTTCAGATACGTTTTGTAGTTCTGTAAGTTGAGTAGTGCATGTGATGAATTGAGAGACTTTCGAATGCTGAACATAACTGATACACAATCTAGTGGAGGTGGAACTTCTTAAACTCGAGGTGGAGCAAAAAGCTCAATGGCTACACAAGTAGCGCCGATATGTGCAATAGTATATACCATCGCAAAACTCTGGCACTTATTTGTGCTCCCGGCAACCGTGCTATCCTGATAACCGTACAGATTTCACTCAAGAGTGCACATGAGTTCAATCACATCGTGCATTGGCCTAGCAGTCACACACACACTCGCATACCCTTGACGCAAACGCCCAAGATGCAAACATGAAGAGTCCGCCCCAGACAGACCATAGCAGGATCAGCCACATGCCCCACTGCACACCACCGTAGTAGTCCGACACAATACCGGACAGCGTGGGACCGGCGAAATACCTGTTGGGTTTGACAGAGACGGCTTGAGGATACAACAGCCCGAAGTCGGTTAAATTCGATGCTTGCTTAAGATGTACGTATGGATATGAATAAGAAACATGATGTACACACAGGATACACACCAAGGAAATGACAGTTGAAGATGGGGCCAAGTAGGGGTCATGGTGATCGTCAAACGTATGCAAATTCATCCACAGTTGCTCACACATTTAGCACGCATCACAAGCCTTCACTGTCAAGTACGTCGCTTAGCATAGAACTGCAATGCCATGGGATGGGCAGGGATGCGTAGCACGCTTGATTAAACACTCAAGCTGCTCCGACTCCACACTTACGCCAATAGTTCCCAAGAAAAAAATGAGATATATTCAGGGCACCGATGCTCGCGCAACTAACGGGACCTAAATCGCTACTGGTAACATACCAGATGTTTGCTTGTTCAGATGAATGGGTAAATACACACATAAACAAACTCAAATAAAATTCGAGCCAGGCAACGACAACACAGTAGTTTTCCATACCCCAGCCAATTGTAGAACAGATTGGAGCCCGCGGAGCTGAATGAGCGAGTTTCTCGAGGCACGCATGAGATGATAATCCCCACCGCGGGGGGAAGGATGGCCCTGTATATGATTAATGGACAATTTCCTTTTCAGGGTATATTCAAACGTCGCGCAAACCCCCCGATCGATGGTGGTGCTTTATGCAATACGTCAAAATGAATGTGCATACTAGCCGCCGTCTAGATGTTACACACAATGGGGTGTGTTTGCGAATGAGTGTTCAGGACAAACCCTCGGTTTACGCTAAGCAGTCTGCAGGTGGTAGGCCCAAAAAGGGACCATCGCACGTCGATAGTGAGTCCTATACGACAGAACGAACCACGACCTACTTTCGAGCAAGCGACAGCTAAGCTGGAGAGACTAAAGGTCCCACACAAGGTATAATATAACTATGCGCATACACACCAGAGAAATAGGTGCACGCCTGCAATGAGAAATGTTAGTTATACAACCGAAGCTTTCTCCACGGGGCAGCATCGATAGGAAGATGGATGGAAAGGGCATTCTACACCCGTACAGCAGCAATGGACAGACACGAATATTGCACATGTGACTAACCAAGACAAACACCGGGGAGAGATTCAAGTCACACAAGTCCGATATAACGTACCCTCCAAAGAAGAGCAGCCCCCAGATGAGTGCAATGATCATGTGGATTGTGGTGGCAAAGATGCATGGCACAGCGCACACCACTGCCAGAATGGCAAACATCGACGCCAGCCTCGCAGCATCGCGAACGCCCTTGAGCCCTCGGTAGCCGCCTATCCTATCAGTCAACCAACCCCCACACAGCACACCGCTGCCAGATATGGCAATACAGTACAGAGCGTGGGATGGAGCAACGGATGATGTAATTTTAGTTAGTCAATGCCAAATGCACCACATTCGTCGCCATACGTTAGCCAATACCGTGTCACGTGTGCGACGCGAGAGCAGAAGTTCGACGTCGCACGCGTTCAGGTCTGCTACTCAGCACAGCATTGCTTCTTCGCTGCGGATCCATAGGCAGAGTCAATCAGCGTGTGTACTTTGGCTTGATTGTTTTTATTTATTTATAGCGCGTCTGAATTGTTACAGGACGCATATACGTAGCTTCGACATGTCTGGCAAGTGCGTAAGGTAGGAAGAACCGCTTTGACCAAGCACTACTATGGAATCCGAGGACACAGCAGTGCGACAAGACTTACGGAACGGAGTCACAAAGAACGTGTGAAATATTACGTACGTAATCGCACCGTAAAAAAATATGCCAAAAACATGCTCACGTAACACCTTGCGCGTACTATGTACCTACCAAGGGCAGACACTACACTGGCCTTGCACCACTGCACACATATTTGACTTGCACTACCACATGTCACCGTGCCACAGCCTGCACTTACAGTATCGGTGCCGATGCCGAGGTCCCGGCGAACGCATACACCACCTGACTCTTGGTGAAGCCACCGTACATAGGAAGAATGTACTTCATCAGGTAAGTGGTAACCCATAGCTGAATGCCAGTCACCACAAAGTACAGAGCTGTTAGCGCCAGCACCGTGCACATGTAAACACCCGACGATGCCAGACGCCCCAGATGCGTGAGCGCCGAGACCGATTCGTGCCGCTTTGAGGGCCACACGTCGATGGCGTCAGTACGCATAGACCGCGATAGCTGTAAGCGGTAAGAGACGGTACGTTGTAAGGCATTGATGGGTACAAACCCCGGGGGTCTAGGTGAGGAATTGAACGATAACGCCGCTCGTTCCACACTCACACAGAACTATTTAGAGCGCAGAGGAGATATAGTTTCTCCGCTGTTGCACACATTTCTCCAGCAAAAAACCAATTTAATAAATTCGTGTGCGTGAAGCGAGTTTTCAGCAACGGCTCCACTCCTTCAGTCGAGTACTGCTAAAGCGTGCAAGTTGTGCGCGAATGTCGAAATGTCTGCGAGACATTCAGGGCCTCGACATACAATTGCACTCACGGCTGCTCACGGCCATGAAATTGGATATATACAATATATATATATATATATATACACACACACACACATATATATTTATATTAACAATATGTTCATATATAAATATATATATATATAAATATATATAAACAATATGTTCATATATATATAATATATACTAAACATAGTTCATACATAATTCATATATATATATATATATAATATATATATATATATATATATATATATATATATATATATAGTATATATAAATATATATAGATAATATGTTTATTTTAGAATGCGAGTAGAGATATAGCTTGCGGCTACTAACATTGCGCATCGACCGCAAATGAAACACTTATGCGGCAGCAGAAAAACGAATAATCGGGGCTGGATTAGCGTCACCAGCATCTTTGCATTTTCCTGTGTGGAACGCGCTCACCACGGTCATAGACGTACACATAGACGTACGCCCAAATAAGCGCCCAAATATCTTATAGCCCCAATTATAGTCCCTGCATCTGGACATAAAAATCTCCGTCCAGCTAATGCAGTATATTATACCTACCGAGATATCCGACTCACTGTTAGCGAGTGGGCCGTGCCTGTCCAACTCCTCCGCTTCGTCTGTGACGAATATTTTGAGATATTGTTTGGGCACGAGCATCAGAAGAAAAACACAGGGTGTAAGCAGCACGACCTGAGGGAGCAATTGGTATATAATCCAAGCACACGGTGAATTAGTAGTCAAGTCAACCAGGGAAAAAACAGTATGGGAAGGCAATCATTCGTCGGTGCAACGTGTCGCGTTATGATTGGTTTCGAATATAGCAGCCACGTTTCATCTAAAAGTATCGCAGTTGTGTCATATACAAGAATAGTTGAAGGTAGCAGACGAAGGACTCAAGCACACTGCGGCGTGAACGAAACGATGCAAATGACCGCTACCTATATCGGAACATTGCGAAGGAGGGGATTAGGCGCAGTATGTAGTTGACACGACAGGCCTATCCCAGAACCACAACTCGGACGATACCCATCCCATCCGACTATCGAGACAGAGACACACTCACCTGTATCCTGAACGGATAACGTGGGTCGATATGTGGCATATACGCCGTCATTAGACCTGACACGAGATACCCCTGCATAACTCCGAGAGGGACACCGGCCTGCGAGAAGTATGGAAAGGCATCATGGGATTAAGAGCTTCTGAGGCCGATAGACAACTGGAAGGAGCGTGTGATTCAAATGTCATAGAACTACCCGCAATCTCGTCATACATATAACAGAACAGACCGGCGTTTCGGATTGAGACTCTAAACGCTACGAAATGCACTGCGTACGAGGACGCAAGGAGAGGCACTTGAAGAAATAAACCAAGGGAATGAAACAAGAGAAGGAAAGTCCCAAAAAACGGGAAAAAGAACTAACTAACTTTAGAAGTACAGATCTGAGCATGGGTGGACGCAAAGCACATAATTGTACAGTCTACAGTATGTAATGACTATCTTCTGCTCCAATGTGCGCAAACAGCTGCCTGCATAAGCAGCCGCTGTTGCGCACAAACCAGACCTTCGCAATCTATGTGTGCGGTTGATCACTTCCACACACCTGCATCAACGACATCCACTGTGTGCACCTATCGGGTGGGGCGAACTCATCAACCCATATAGGGGTGTACACCACTAACACGGCCTGTGAACACCCCACCAGAAACCGTGACAGCAGAAGCGCGTTCTTGGACGGTGACCACGCAAACAGCGCATTCGACGATACATTCAGAAGCAAGCTTGCCGCAAGCGCGTGCTTCGACTGGACGTAGTGTAAGGTTGGAGCTGTGATAATGCCGTGGGGGAGAAGATATCGCTTTGTAATAGCTGGTATGATATGTTATACTATCTTATAAATATAATCAATCACGGCAGTGTAATAAGCATCGGTGCGAAGATGAGATGCACCACAAATGCTTGATGCCTTCGACAGTACAATACTAATATGACCAGTGATATATAGATTCACTGCGGTTCGATACCAACAGAATAAATCAGTGCACATAAATGCGATGAGTATACACGCGCGTAAGAAAGTGCATTGAGACAGAGAGAAGTATTGTGTTTCCCGAAACTTAGACCCATGAACTTTCGATATAATGGTGCTCGTATACAAAGGGGTGTGTGCCCCAATTCACACTTTACATCCATGTAATGTAGATATAAATATGTCATGATATACGCAATCAGCGATACAACGAACAAAATACTAGCGAAGATGAAAACAATACATAATTACATCCAAATAAATAAACATATATCAGAACCTAATGCAAATGTCCGAATGTAGAATGTGAGCTTCTATATATACTTGTGTACCAGTCATAGAAAGACACAACACAGGAGGCGATGATTACAGGTATAAGGAGAACAAAAATACCGAAACATTTTCTGATTGACATACTATAAAACATATCAACGGACACAGATAAACACGAACATACGACCACATGGATATATATATATGTGCGTGTCTGTTCTTATATGGATACACACACACACACACACACACACACGCATATGCATATATATATATACGTACGCACACACACACACACATATATATATATACATATATATATAATATACAATATAATATATATATATATTTAATTAAATANATATATATATATATNTATATATATATATATATATATATATATATATATATATAGATTAGACGACACGACACGACACGAGAGGAGTG